AATACTGATGTTGGAGTCCGCAGGGTATCATCATCAGACACGCTCGCTCGAAGCAACTATGTTACTCGGTAGTACCAGTGCTGAAGGTTGAAGTACTGACCTCTATACCGAGTGGAGCTACAAGAGCACTATCGTGGTCTACAGCAATAGATATGCCTTCCGTAGTTACACTAAGACTCCTCCATACGTGCATGGGGATGACTAGATCCTATACGAAATCATCCAAGATGATGATCAGTATTGATAACCGAGTACATCATCAGTGCAGTATTGTCGAGATGTTGATGCTGATACCACTCGTATACGCGGTGAAGGATGATTAAAGGTGTCGAAGGAGCTACCTAAAAATGTAATTAGTTATATCGATACTACATCTGCTTATCTTACCAGATGACGTTATCTGCATGCTACTAATAGACTCAGCAGCATACAGTCTAAGAGGTCCATCCATATCCGACCCAGTATTCTCTTCTACTGCTGCTACACGTGGCACCCCAATAGCTGGAGTGAACTGAAGTAGTTATTAATACCACAATAATCGTGATGGAAGAGACCTTACCTTCAATATGCTTTGCTGTGGGAATGCCCAGTCTTCCAGGGTAGTTATTACCTATTATCACCCGAACGAGACCCCTTGCTCCACTTATACTCTCACCTCCGATGCTTGGAGCCCCCTTCTACTATCATCGTTAGTTGATTGGTCCTCACGTATAAGGAGTAATATAAAATAACATTTAATTCGATGCCCGCCATAGAACAACATCTAGTTATAGATCTATGTTGTGGTGTTCTGTTGAATACCCACCCTATAATAAACTACATAACACAACAGCGTTACGTCGTGAACCTCAGAGGTGGATTACATGGTGAGTATTGCATTTAAGGGCGAGCGCGGTTGAAGGTGCGCACTCGCTTTATTATTACTGTAGATTAAGGCTGCGCATTAAAACAGGATAGGCCTTAGATGGCCAAGCTGATTATCGTGTTGAATATCGATAGATCTTTTTCGTAACTTCTTTCATACCTCCATGGTATCCCTTCCAGACTCATCAACGCCTCTTGGTGGTAATATTATTACTACAGATAGCTGTGTTAAGTATGGTGTTCGTCATACAATAGGATCGTCAAAGGAGGAGGAAGAGGGTAAGAGGCTGACAAGAAAACAGTTTTTCATCCAACAGCAGAAGAAGCGTGAACACATGAGCTCGATAAAGCTTATGATGTTGACGAGCTTCAACTTACCATATGGCGCAATATGCGGCAGTATGGGTAATGAGGGTATTATATTCATCATCATCATGTTAACCGTGTGACTATGGTAGGACTTTTTGTACTACCCGCCGAGGCTCTAAGACTATGGCCTAAGTCTCAAGGACCTATGCTGGGAGTTATGCTTGGTAACACTACAGTAGTAAAATTGTAGGGATATCAGCAGTATCATATCAGGTGTTGTGGGAATATCACAATTAATCTGCCCTATAGCTGGCAGATTCTCTGATGAATGCACTTCATCGTTGGGTAGAAGGAGACCATTTATAATAGGATGTACGATTAGTGGGATTATTGGAGTACTTCTCATGTGGGCTGCCAGCGCCCTTAAACTCGGGTAAAATGACTATCATCATATTGTTGTCCATCGCTGTTGTCAGGGGTCTCTATGTTTTCCTCCTCTTCATGTCGATGATATCGCTGAATACGATATTCTCCGCTCAATGCGGTCTAGTACCTGACTTAATACAGCCCTCGCAACAGGTAGTATACTTTGAGTATTGGAAAGGGGGGTAATGAATGCATGTCTCATCAGGGTTCAGCATCTGGAATCGTAGCAGTACATCAACTTACTGGTAGCATCACTGGATTTCTTGTAGTCTTATTAACTAGAAGTAATCCTTCCCGGACTTACTGGCTTCTATTCATGACCATACCGCAGTCCATGACTATCACCTTATATACATGGTCTATGCCGTAATGGTCCTTTGCACCACCATAATAAGCTGTATCACCGCTAAGGAAACACCATTACCCAAATATCTATCGAGGTGGTCAGCATCATCGACAGCATCACCATTACACTCCGCACCTCTCTATCCAGGCCCCTAACCCTATCAGCTATAGCATCATCCTTCACATTGGATTGCTCTCAAGGTTATGACTTCTTATGGGTCTTCATCGGACGTACGATGCTCCTCATCCTCATCCTATTGTGAGCTATCCTGTAAAGGTACCTTCTATTACATTGGAGTGTCAGTGCAAGCATTCATCTTCTACTTTCTACGGGATCAAATACGTAATAGCTCCAACAACGTCTCCATCATACCCTGTCCCCTCTCCAGCCACTAATGATGGCACACGGCCCTCACAGAGTCAATTGCAGGTATGGATCGCTGAGATAGCCATCACAGCACAGGTAACTATATTGTATGATTGATGATTCTTCATTGTCGCTCTATAGGTAGTAGCGGCGGCAGTAGCATATCCGA